GAACCTACAGAAGTTAAGAGTGGGTAAAATTATCAATAAAACACAACTGAAACCCCCAAAATGTGTACATGAAAAGAAGTGTACATAAAATAATATTATCAATTAAACACAGGGTGGGGGGACAGTAAGAGGTGTTAAAACACAGCACACGTCATTAAATTTGTGTGTCTGGTTAGGGTTGCGGAAATGAAAAAGAATCCATACTTTGGTTTTTAATCATGTGAATGATGGAATGTCTAGCAAGGGCTGTTCTTCACCAACCATCCTCTGAATTGTGCCTTAGAATAGGTGCAAGTCATCTCTTAAGAGCTCCAGTTTCTTGTTAGTACCATTGGAAGTACTGGCCCTATTCCTGCTGTTTTTTTTACTGGCTTTCTTATCTCTGTCCAGCCTCCTGTGCTGATATTATCCTTTACTAGGCTTCTTTGCCCTGCATTATCCTTTTTGGTCCACAGAGGCCGCTCCTTCCCACGTTGCTGTTTCATTCTTTTCCGTGGCAATAGCAAGTCCCACCTGTGTGTTTCTGTAGAATCCCAAGTCTGTGTTTGCTTAGCCTCCCAAATGATTTTCAACATACGTTTGATTTGCATGCAGAATGCATGTAGGCCGTTCAGTTCCAGGTTCTGATCCTGATCCTGATTATTAAGAGGGTGCATATTTTTCCTTGCATGGCAAAGGAGCTGCCTTCCTCCTTAGCTGCCTACCTCCCCAACCCCCGGATTCCTTGAGCACTAGTGATATTAATATTAATAATAATAATAATAATAATAATAATAATAATTTATTTGTAACCCGCCCTCCCCAGCCATAGCCGGGCTCAGGGCGGCTAACATCATGAAACTAAGACAGTATACAAAGAACATAAGAGGGAGTCCGATGGCGCCACCCCGGAAGTCGACAGTCTTATAAAAACAGGCAATCAATTAGTTAAAATACATCTTAAAATTAGTTCAGAGCAAATTAAAATCTGGACAGATGGCAGTCCGCAGGTAAAATTGAGAGTGGTTAATATTCTCCAGGGCCAGCTGTTACCACTGGTCTTATAAAGGACCTGTGTTCAGGCTAGGAGATCTCTTTAATGCTTGTTCTTCTACAGTAAGAAAAGAATCAGACTGAACCCTGACCAAAGGCCTGGCAAGAACAGCTCTGTCTTGCAGGCCCTGCAGAAAGATGTCAAATCCTGCAGGGCCCTAGTCACTTGTGAGACAGCGTTCCACCAGGTCGGGTCCATGGCCGAAAAGGCCCTGGCTCTTGTCGAGGCCAGTCTAATCTCCCTGGGGTCTGGGATCTTCAGGGTGTTATTATTTGCAGACCTTAAGGTCCTCTGTGGGGCATACCAGGAGAGGCGGTCCCATAGGTACGAGAGTCCTAGGCCGTATAGGGCTTTAAAGGTTAAAACCAGCACCTTAAACCTGATCCTGTACTCCGCCAGGAGTCAGTGTAGCTGGTATAGCACCGGATGAATGTGCTCCCGCAGCGAGGACCCCGTGAAGAGTCTCGCCGCGGCCTTCTGCACCCGCTGGATTTTCTGGGTCAGTTTCAAGGGCAGCCCCACGTAGAGTGAATTACAATAATCAAGCCTGGAGGTGACCATCCCATGGATCACAGTGGCAAAGGTGAGAGAGATAAGGGACCAACTGCTTAGCTCAGCGGAGATGAAAAAATGCCGCCTTTGTTGTAGCTGTAACCTGCACCTCCATAGAAAGGGCGGCATCGAAGATTACGCCTAAACTCTTGACAGTAGGCGCTGGCGCTAATTTCACGCCCACAAAGGATGGGAGTTTATAAGATGATGAGGTTTATAAGATGCTGTGATGTCACCAGGCGCCTTGATGGAATTGGCAGAACGGCAAGCGTAGTTTTGAGAGGTCTACATGGTATGCCCAACAGAGCAGAAATGGGACAAAGGCAGAGCAGGTGAAAGTTGGTGCCAGCAAAGACTTTCTCCATGAGCTGAGAAAAATGGCTTTGTGAGTCATAGGCCACCTCTGTATAATGCACAACACTGCAGGACCTGGCACAAATCGGCCATGCTTTGGTTTCACAATACCTTCAGTAGGCTTTATTGGCTGGTACAGAAGCAGGTATTGTGAGTTTTGTCTGTTTGGTTTGTTCTTTTTTTTTTTTTAAGGAAAATAAAAAGGTAAGGCTGGGGGAGACTTAGGAAAGGTTATACTCCCCACTCATTTCTTCCTCTTGCTGGTTCCATCCTCTTTCCTTTGTTTTCCTTCTTCTCTCTCTCTTCTTTGTTTTTATAAATTTGCAAAAACAAAGTAGAACTTTAAAAAAAGAACTTTTGTATTTAAGCAGGGGCACACATTTCAACAGCATGCAAGAATCCAGAAATAAGCAGTACAATTAAATTGCAATTAACCAATACAATGAAACAATTTAAAAGAATAAATATTAAAACCACACACAATTAAAATTCAACAGTAGAATTAAATTACAATTAACCAGTCAAAATTAACACAATACAATACAGTAAAAATTACAGTGAGAGGGAATATAAATTTGAGTCATTTTTTTCACATTCTCTAGAAAAAAATATTATTGGTGGGCGGGGGGTTAAACGTGGTTTTTTTCTTCTTTCTTTCTAAATATCAGGTTATTGTCCTTGAAGTCTTAGGCTTTCTCGCTTAACAAAAGTTAGTACATCATTTTTTTAAAAAATGAAGTCATCACAGAAGGTAAAGGTTAACTTAGTTCCTCCCCACATACACCCCACCCCCCCACACACACTCCCCAGGGCTGTAGACTCCTCCTTGTTGCCAAGTTCTTTTCATTGGGATTAAACATTGAGAGAAAACCTACCTCTGCACAAATGCTCTGAGCACACCGGAACATTCTCAGTCATGCCTGCAAAGCACATGCGAGGCTGCTTTTCTCTGCTGAGCAATAAAGGGATTTGAGCACTCCGCTTCTGGTTCTCTCTCTCTCTCTCTCTCTCTCTCTCTCACACACACACACACACACACACAGAGAGACAGAAAAGCAGGCCGCAACTTTCCTCCAGTTAGACATATTTTAAAAGGTCAGCTGCAACATACAGGCATAAACACTTGCTCTGGGGCAATAAATACCTGTTCTGGCAGGCAGCCTTTGAAACATACCAATCACTAGCAGTTGTTTGGCTCGCGAATGCTCAAAGCAGTCTGAGTGCGTCATTACTCTCACCTTTCCAACAAACCTGTAACGTAGGTCAGTACTGCCACCTCCCCAACGCCATCATTATCGGCCCCTTATTGCGAGCCTGGAAGAATGTTGCATCTGCGGTGAGATTTGAACCATAGGGAGCTGTCCTGCACCGAGTCATATGATTTGGTCTGCCTAGCTCAGCACTGCCCACTCCCTGGGCAGACGGATAGCTGCTCTGCATGCCCTCTCCACCACCAAGCTACAGCCCTGCTCTCATGCTCTCTGGCTATGTCCTACACCAGGTCCACCTGTGTTTGCGCCTAAAAGAGTTTTGGTCTTAGGGTTGCATATGAAACACCTGTCTAAAACTGGCAGTGGAAAATTGCTGTTTGAACCTGTGTGAAATCCAAGGGCTCGTGCATGCATGTGTGCGTCTGTTCAATCTACTATTGTGGGAACAGAGCACCTTTGCAGGTACCTTTTGACTTTATAGGTCAACACTGGAAAAGTTTTAAAAGGTTGCTGTGTGCAATTTAACCCATGTGAATCAACTGGCCTCTAAACTTCTGTTTACTGTCCTCTGCTCGAAAAAGACCAGAACTGGCTGGCCAGCATGCCCCTGGTGGGACGGACGCAGGGGGCACTGTGGTCTAAACCGCCGAGCCTCTTGGGCTTGCTGATTGCAAGGCTGACAGTTCAAATCTGCGTGTTGGGGCGAGCTGCTGTTGCTCTGTCCCAGCTCCCGCCAACCTAGCAGTATGAAAGTATATCAGTGGGAGTAGATAAATAGGTACCACTGTGGCGGGAAGGTAAACAGCGTTCCCATGCGGTCTGGCTTTTCTAACAGTGTCCCGTTGCACCAGAAGCGGTTTAGCCATGCTGCCACATGACCCGGAAAGCTGTCTGTGGGCAAATGCTGTCCTCCTTGGCCTGAAAACGGAGATGAGCACCGCACCCTATAATTGAATTCGACTGGACTTAACCATTCATGAGTCCTTTACCTTTTTTACCTTTTACCATAGTAGCATGAGCTAGGAATTTGGTGAGTCAGATCTCCCCTCAGTTGCAGACTCTTAGCTAGGTGGCTCTCCCAGGCTCAGAGCCCCTTCTCTCTCTTCTGGAAAACTGAAATTGATCAAAGGTGCCACCTTAAATGTGTGTTTTGAGGTTTTTGGTTTTTTTTGGAAAGCTTACTGAAATAAGTGTGAGAGATAAGTGCAAGTTCAACCTCCCTTTAACTAATTTCTGATTCTCTGACTTCTCAGTGTGAAGCCCTCAGGAAGGGTGCTCCACTCTACCACTGACATTAACAGGACCCACTGCTTGGGGGGATTCCTAGAGATCGTGGGGTCTACAGCAGCCAGCCCATGGAACCAGTGTGATGCATGTGTATCAGCTCCCCCTGCTGGTTGCAATACACAATGCAACCTGTGTGAAAAATGTTGAAGGTGCAATCCTGTGCCTTATTACCACGAGGAGCAAATCCCAGTGGAGTTAATTGGACTTTCTTCTGAGTTGGATCAGGCTGCTGGGGTAATTTTATTCTCTCAAATATATAAGACCCTAACCTGCTTCATAACTCCTGTCCTTTGAGATTGGCATGGCAGAAACCCCCTACTGCAGGCATAGGAAAACTCCGGCCCTCCAGATGTTTGGAACTACAATTCCCATCATCCCTAGCTAACAGGACCAGTGGTCAGGGATGATGGGAATTGTTGTCGCAAACATCTGGAGGGCCAGAGTTTGCCTATGCCTGCCCTACTGGCTCCCACTGCGAACCTTTTTGATTGTATCTTACCACAACCCTTGAATTAGAACGGAGTGTGCGTCTGTGGCCATGTTCACAACGTACATGTCAGAGAGCCAGTGTGGTGTAGTGGTTAGAATGTTGGACTAGGACTTGGGAGGCCTGAGTTCAAATCCCATTTCTGATCCAAGCTGTGGGTGCAGGAGTTTAGGATCAGGTCAATTGATCTAAGGTCATGGTGTCATGGTTATAATTCCGTGCTAAGACTTGGGAGACCAGAAGAACCATGGAGAGGGGGAGAACCCGTGTACAGCATCTTGGGATCCTTGGTGGGGGAAGGGTGGATTAAATGCAATAAATAATTAAAGTGTAGTTTCTTAAGGGTGATGAGAGTTGTTAGGAGATCCCTCTTCTCCTCACAGACCTGCATTTCCCAGAGTGGTTTAACAACCAGTCCATCTCCACAGGAAACTCTGGAAATTGTAGCTCTCTGAGGGGAAAAGAAGGCTAGCCACTCTCAGCACCCTTTACAGACTACAGCTCCCATAATTCTTGGGGGGAGGGGGAAGCCATTCCTGTTTAAAATGGCACCAGAGCACTTTGAATGCATGCTGTGTATGTCCTTCCTTGTTTCTCCTTTTCCTATCCAACCCCTGCTGACGTTTCAAGGCCTCCCAGTTTCTTCTCTGCAGCCAGCTTGGATTTCCTGTCCAGAGATTTTTCAGGGTGTTTTTTCTCTCTCTCAAGAACAAACAGCTGGAGCCTATGAAACAGTTATTCCCCTGTGAAATCTGCCTCACCCACCCACCCTCTTCCCAGTGCCATCCTGTCCCAGCTCCCTGTATTTGCAGTAGGGTTAATGTTTACCACCCCGCCTCCGCATCTTTGGAGAGCTGCTCCTTTTTCTTCAGGGGTGGAGCTGGGCATCCGGAGATAGGAGACAACATCTTCCTTATCGGTATCTAATAGGTTTTCTCATCATCCAGGAACCAGAGATAAGGGGGTACTCCTTTAAATCAGCACAGGGGAGACACAGGCATTGACTCTAAAGCAGCCAGCCTGCAGCTGGGGACCAAATTATAAACCAGGTGTTGCCATGTAGGTGTTGCATGCAGCCAGCATCATAGCTTAAAAGGCAGATGCTCCATTTCTCCCTCTCCAGCCACTGTACGTACATACAACATTTTGCACACCAGTGATTTGCGTCCTTGGTGGGCATAGCTGCTGCCTCTGTGTGTGGACCAATACACAGGGTTAAGCACATTTTTATATACATGGGCCATTTTATACCATCAGTCCTTATGGAATCCAACAGCATGGGGAGGGTGCAGAGAAACCACAGGTTGGGAAAAGGCTTTATTCCTCACTTCCAAATTCTCTGCCCTAAATTGCCCTCTCCTTAAGCTTCCTTCCTTCCTTCCTTTTATATCCCACCTTTCCAAGAAGGAGCTCAAAGTGCCATACCCAGTTCTCTGCCTCCTTATTTTATGCTCAGAACAACCCTGTGAGGTAGGCTAGCTGAGGCACAGAGACTGGCCCAAGGCCACCCAGTGGACTTCATGACTTCAGGACTAGAACCCCAGCTTCCCAGATCTTAGTCTAACACACACCACTATGCTTGGATTAAGCTCTTGCCTTCTCAAATTTGTGCGCTGCTGAATGTGCACAAGTGACATGTGAGTTTGGAAGTGTACTCCATGTTCCCCAGTCCAAAGGCCCATTGATTTCTCTAGAAGTAGAAGGTCTTCATTTGTGCTCTCTCGTTTATGGGATTCCTTTCCCTTCATTCGAGCAAATGAGAATAGAAGCCCACTACATATGGCTGAAATTGTGCAAGACTCTGCATGTTTGTTGTGTTTTATGGGGAGGGGGAGAGGGCTTCCCCTCTTTTATTTTCAGGAAGTGGCCATAATAATAATAATAATAATAATTATTATTTATACCCCACCCATCTGGCTGGGTTTCCCCAACCACTCTGGGCGGCTTCCAGCAGAATATTAAAATACAATGATTTATCAAACATTAAAAGCTTCCTTAAACAGGGCTGCCTTCAGATGTCTTCTAAAAGTCAGATAATTGTTTATTTCCTTGACATCTGATGGGATGGCGTTCCACAGGGCGGGCACCACTACCAAGAAGGTCCTCTGCCTGGTTCCCTGTAACCTCACTTCTCACAATGAGGGAACCGCTAGAAGGCCCTCAACGCTGGACCTCAGTGTCCGGGCAAAATGATGGGGGTGGAGACACTCCTTCAGGTATCCTGGGCCGAGGCCATTTAGGGCTTTAAAGGTCAGCACCAACACTTTGAATTGTGCTCGGAAACATACTGGGAGCCAGTGTAGGTCTTTCAGGACCACTCCCAGTCACCAGTCTAGCTGCTGCATTCTGGATTAGTTGTAGTTTCCGGGTCACCTTCAAAGGTAGCCCCACGTAGAGCGCATTGCAGTAGTCCAAGCTGGAGATAGCCAAAGCATGCACCACTTAAGCTTTGTTTGGTAGATAAAACATTTGCAAATCAAACCTGAAATAAACATTCCCTTTAACATACTTTTTTTCATGATAACATTGGTATGAATCCTGGCTTTATTTAGCTGTTAGCCTGGTAAACAAGGTTGAAACAAGCTTCTCATACTAAGCAAGATTCAGCTGAATGTTGGCAGAAGAAAATTGGAACATGAGCTTCAGAATACATTTTTAAAAGCAAAGTATAATTTATCAACGGGAGTATAATGTTCTTCCTGCTTTTGGAAGGAGAATGGACAATGCCACTATTGAGTTAGTTCAACCAATGGTGATATTGGATGATGATGAATCTACATCTCCAGGTTTAACAGCAACACCCATAAATGCAAAAACCAACTAAGAACACATTATGGCTGTTTAATTGTAGTGTTGTGCTTTTTATTGCTTAAAACTTGCTGGTCACCTTCCTGGAAATCTATTGAATGTAAGGTGGTGTTAGAAATGTTCTAAATTAAATAAGTAAATAAATTCGAGTTTGCATTTAACGTTTTGTTTCATTTTGGGTTTTTTTTTAAATGTTCCCATTTCTTAAGTTCTTTTTATCATTTGCAGCTCATGTCAAGAGACATATTCACCCAACCTACCTTGAACAGTTCAATTTTGGAGATTATTATGGTCACACCTGCACCATGCATTTAAAGCATGCAGCTTCCTGCAAAGGATCCTGAGAACTGTACTTGGTTAAGGGTGCTGGGGATCGTAGCTTTATGAGGGGCAAATTTGTGACAGACAAATGTTGTCCATTCATTCAATCATCTGTGAACATATTGTGGAATATCTAGATTCTTCTTTATTTGGAGCATGTAACAGAACTTGGATAAGAGAGGCCATCTTGTAGCCTGCTCTTGTGTCGTCTTGTAATCCCTAGACAGATCTTGCCACCCACTTTCTTTTCTGGCCATGCACCTAACTGCACTGCCCAGTCTCTTTCCATATACCGTATTTTTTGCTCTATAAGACTCACTTTTTCCCTCCTAAAAAATAAGGGGAAATGTGTGTGCATCTTATGGAGCGAATGCAGGCTGCGCAGCTATCCCAGAAGCCAGAACAGCAAGAGGGATAGCTGCTTTTGCTGCTCAGCGATCCCTCTTGTTGTTCTGGCTTCTGAGATTCAGAATTTTTTTTTTCTTGTTTTCCTCCTCCAAAAACTAGGTGCGTCTTATGGTCTGGTGCATCTTATAGAGCGAAAAATACAGCATCCACTTTTCTCGTTTCAAACTTTGCAAAGTGAAACACCCTAACCCTTATTTTTGAGTTCCACATAATGTGTGTGTATGCACCCATATTAAGAGCATAATACCCACACTTGTTGGTAAGTATCTGTTCAATGAATATTTTTCTCTTGTTAGGTTGCAGGAAAGGGGGTCTTCTACAGTCTAGGGCAGGGATTCCCAGACTTGAGTCTCCAGCTGTTGGATTACAACATCCATCATCATCCCTAGATAGCAAGACCAGTGGTCAGGGACGATATGGATTGTAGTCCGAAAACAGCTGGAGACCCAAGTTTAGGAAACACCGGTCTTAAGAACCAGTATTTTCTGACCCTATACCCAGGTCCATTTACCTACCTAAACAGCATCTACATATATTTGTGTATCTTCCTGTGCAGTACTCATGTTACAGTAATTGTCATGCCACAGTCTAACACCCCAGCTTTCAGAACGTACCTTATATATCCTGTTTTGGATTCTTTCATTACATTTTGGCCACATTCACACCACCCATTTAAAGCAGTGGCATGACACTTTAAACAGTCATAGCTTCCCCCCTTCCCCGAATTCTGGGAGGTGCCGCTTGCTAAGGATGCTAAAAGTTGTTAGGCAACCCCTATTCTCCTTGTTGAGCTACTGTTCCCAGGGTTCCCTGTGAACAATAAGTTATTGTAAACCACTCTGGGAATTGCAACTCTGGGAAGGAAATAGGGGCCTCCTAACAACTCTCAGCACCATTAACGAACTACAGCTCCCATAATTCTTTGGGGGAAGCCATGACCGTTTAGATTGGTATCATAGTGCTGCTAACGTATAGGCTGAATGTGGTCGAAGTCAAGTTTGCTGTTAGTGAAAACTGAGACTATGTAATGTGGAAAGCGAAGAGGACTGTAAACCACACGGTCTCCAGAAATTATTGATTCAAATAAAACCTGGGGTGGGGGGTTGGCAGAACTTCAACTTCTTTTTCTTGCACACAATAAAAGTTGCAGATTAAAAACAAAACCTTTGCTGTTGAATATTTCTGCGAAGAGAGCAGAATGAGGCAAGAGGGTCACCAAGTGACAAAACAGAGCAGTCTGGCTTTCTTGGGGCTGATTTCATCATCTCTGCTTCTGCAGATTGGCCTCTCTGCCTTCTCCCCCCCCCCCTCCACACCACAGCCCCAGCCCCAGCCCCAACACAAACGCTGTCCAGCCACTTTTGCAGTACAGGAAACATCTGCTGGAAGGGAGGACTGAGGCTGGGTTACTTCAGGGCATTGGCCCACAGAACAACCCTGAAACTTAAAGCGCGTGCAAGTCATTTCGATATCTTTTCCCCACCCGCTGCTCCCACAAGAAAAGTTAACGAGAGAGCAGAGCTGCCTTTTTGGAGAGAAGAGCCTGAACGAGGAGTGTCCGGGGCAGGCCCTGGACGGGGTTCAGAAACTGCTGTTTCGCGCACGCCTTCT